GGGGGGGGGAGCGGGAGGAGTTATTTGTTTCCGCAATGCATTTCTCTAGTTGTTTGTCAATTTGTTTTTGATATCCTTTAATTGGTTGTAAATATATTTACACTTTTAAAAAGGCGTCACGTATTTATGACATAGAAAATCATTTTGTTAACTATAGCCAGATACTTTTCACTGCAGGGGAGTTCTTCTCCGCAATGTTTCCATTAGTTTTTATCAATGAAATAATCGTTTTGCTTAATAAATGAATCTATCCATAGAAAGTATCAAGTGCTGTAAGAAGGCCGAGAAAAGGGGAAATTGTATATCTGATGGATGTTTACAGAAATCTTTATCATTGAAGCTATTGGAGCCAATTATTCAATGAAAGTAGAGATCACCAATATGAATATATTCTAGACCTGCCTGCATATTACATCTATATAAAGCCAATATCAAAACCAGCAAGGAGAGTACTCATAGATTTGGTTGGTAATCCTCCCGGCCCACAAACTGATCTGTGTTGCCTCAGCTACCTCCTTTACCAAACTCATAATTATAATTTACCCTAGTGAATCTTGTTGTCATATATACCCAGCAGCAATACCAGTTTAACTTATGAAACATGTCCAGAGTCCAAGATAATAAGCATACCTACATGGCAAATTAAAAAAGAAAGATGTAAGGAGATGGTACAGAAAGAGGAGGAGTGAAACTGTTATGATACTTTTTCAGGTGTTTGTTGAACAATTTTTGTTGGAAATGGCTCCAACTGATGAAAGTGACTAAGAAATTTATTCCTTCTGTATAGTTATATTTTTGGCACTGAGAAGTAGTCCAGAATGAGTTTTAATTGATAATCTATTAAAATTAATTAGTCATAGTAGGAAGGAAAAGAGAAGTTCATCCCGTTTCTCTTAAGTACTATTTTATGAGCTGGGCCATCTACGCGGAAGCAGATTTATCCTTTAGTTATGCATGTGGAATACAAATAAAATTTGTTTTCTGGTAGAAGAAGTCCCTGATTATGTAAGGAAAGGGTCGCATAAAAAACATTCACCATATTGATTTCTGTTGTGTTTTAAGACTAACTCTGTAGCATTTTGCGCTTACTGCTAGGTTGAGCTGTACACAGATCAAGAAACTTATGGGATACTGGGTAAGAAAATTCCATCAGCTTTTATATCTGAATTATTTTGCGAAATAAGCTGTCTGTATCTTCATTTTTCCCGTTTAAGCTTTATTGAATTCTTGGATAATAACTGATTTCAGGAAAAGAGCCTGCACTAATAATCTCCAACCATAGAAGTGACATTGACTGGCTTGTTGGATGGGTTCTAGCTCAGGTGATTGTCTACTTCAGCTTTAGTTTCTCTCTTTCTTGCAGCATCATATTATTGCTTTTTCTTGATGCATCAAAATCCCCTCTTTCTAGAAGCATCCATTTCTTAAGTTGAGAAAACCTTGGATATCAAATCTTTGATACGTCATTTATCACCTCTAGTTGGATATCAAATCTTTGATACGTCATTTATCACCTCTAGTGGTCCAGTAACCCAAAATGTCAGTTCCTCCATTTAGTCTACATTGTTAGAATGAGAACTCAGTTGTGTTTAGAATGGTTTCTTTTTTATCTGTGTATAACTTATGACTTCTATGTTTTTCTTATATAAAATAGTAGCATTATAATCTCTTCCTTTTGTTCTCATGTTATCTTTTGGGAAGAAAACTTACTCTGATTCCCCATTGAAGCAGATGGATCTACCTTTTGATATTTTCCTCTATGGTTCTTAACAGCGAGTAGGTTGTCTCGGATACACAATTGCTTTGGCAAAGAAGTCTCTATCATATCTTCCAGTAAGTTTCTGACACCATCAGAATTCTTCACTTTGTTATATGCTCTCTGGTACCAGTTGTTGCTAAGTCGGATTTGCAGATGAATGCAACTTTCATTTAATATAATGCTGAGCCTTATAGTTCGGTTAAAGAGTTCAGAATTAATTTGCTTTACAAAGATATTCTCCACCATTTTGAATAAAACCAATTAACTGTGAACAGTGTAAATAGGACATGCATGGTTTCTGCTACCTTGTGTTTATAACTTATCACCTTCATCTAGGTTTTGCCATAATTACGGCTTCCTTTTCTTTTCCTTATACATTTAAGGCAATTACTTTATAATTTCTATGTAGGGTAATGGTTTCCTCAGTTTTGAGAAGGTTTTTTGTTAGCTTTCCTAAAGATAATGTTCTTTAATTTTGTTAAGTAAGTTGGACTTTGTGATTAAGGCGTTATTGATCGATTGATTGAAGTAAGTTGGATTTTATTCAACAGAAGATCACCAAGGAAATCATGCAAGTGTAAAAATTGAAACCAATATCGGTTTTCATATCCTCTAGGGATACACCACAAAAAAGCCAATGTGGTATATCCTTCTGATCTTGTCTATTGTGCTTGCATTCTTGTCCAGCTCAAGAGAGTTCTTTCGTGGCTCAGGCATTACCCACTGAAATACCACACAGATTAAGGAATACGCTTTAAAGCCGAGTAGCAACCAGGCGAAACATAGACATATAATTACCGTCCTAAGCATCACACTTTTAACACCGGTTACAGGTAGCCAACCCCTACTTCTGAAATTTAAACTGGAAAAAAGCTTCATATTCTACAATCTCCATCAAGCCACTGTGAGAGGTGCTCTTCTTTTGCAAAGAAGCTGATGTCCCCTATGTAGATAGCTACTGTAGGCTTCTCTAGTTGGTGCCCATCTCAATGAATCACCATATCAAGTCTTTTATATCTTCCATTTTCCTTGCAAGTGGGTCATTCTTTAACATATCCCATCTTATCAATTCTTCCTAAATCTAATCTCACAGCCATAGCTTGCTGTGCATTGTGATAGTGGCTGTATTGTTACCAGAACTACAGAAGTCATAAAATTCTTCTTTTAGAGTGGTGTGACTTATCCAAGTATCAAGCCAGCATCTTATATTCCTCTACTATCTAGAATCAGCTTCTTGGGTGATGTGTCCTGCATGGCACTAGCAAAAGCCTTGTGTAGAGCAGTGGATAGAGTTGTCCATCCCATGAAGACTATAATAGTCATGGTTGTTCTTTCCTATGGCACCATTTAAGAGATTGAATGAGTGATTGGTTGATCAGCACAAACTAATAATGTAAGGATAGGGTGTCAACCTCACCTACACTCTTTTGGTCATAATTCAACTCACAATTACTCAAGCTTTGGTTCTAATAATATGGTGCCATTCCTACTTTAATTTACAGTGTTCCTTACACCAATTTATAATTGCGACTTATCTATCCTTAAGGTGGAGGTTCCATAAGCCAATCTAGTTTTACACTTAATGCAATTACAGATGCATTAGATTCTATGATTCTATCACGGTTGAGCCTCTCGAAACCAATTTATCTTTTCAGGGATTCTGAAATCGGTTAAGCCTATTTCAATTATGATGTACATTATAGTTGGCCTAGATCAATATAGGGGTTATCTATACTTGGGATTATTATATTCAATGAATATGTTATATATACATTACATTTCTGTTCGACTTCGACACCTAATAATGTAAAAAAAATTTAAAAGCATTAAGTAGTATAACGTATACTATTGGTAAAAACAACGTAATCATTCAAGAGCCAATAATTAAACCAAAGGAGTTATGGGTTCATCTGTTCGTGTAACTTTAACAAAAGAAATTACTGCATTTAGATAAAAAGACAACAAGAGGCAAGTAATCAACATAGTATTGTTGTCCATAGTAGAACCAACAGAATGCATAATATATTGCAAATCTTAACTTTGAAGTGTATGATACCAGAAGAGGCTGGGTCAAAATTCGCCTATGATGCTCAATACACTTAACAAATCTTATAAAAAGACCTCAATGCTATCAACTCATCATTGTGCTACATTTGAAAAAAAATTACTGTTTTTGACTGAGAATGCGTTAATCCATCTTCCTTAGCTCAACAGAAAAGGAAATATTGATTTGCAGGTTTTAGGATGGTCAATGTGGTTTTCTAGTTTAATCAGTCTTGAGAGAAGCTGGAACAAGGATGAAAATATCTTGAAGGTACCATTCTCTACCTTTATCTGTTTGGTCTGTGATCTTCTACTTATGTTTGTTGCATTTATTTCTTCTTTCGGTCTTTACTGCAGTCAGGATTCCGAGAGCTAAATGGTTTCCACCAACCATTTTGGTTGGCTGTTTTTGTAGAAGGAACTCGCTTCACACATACAAAGCTTTTAGCAGCTCAAGAATATGCTGTTTCTGTAGGAAAACCTATCCCAAGGAATGTTTTGATTCCTCGAACCAAGGTGACATAATCTTTCTAACTTATATGTGATTTAAATGTGGTGACAATAACAGTTTCTCATCCTGGATTTAACATTCAGAGGAATGATTATAAAAGTCACAACATTGTTTACATGTAGCCTAGTTATTTATGGTATCTTTTGTTCTGCAAATGATAAAAGAAAAAATTTCCGTCAACGAATATCTGATAGTGTTCTCTTCTCCTCAGGGTTTTGTTGCATCAGTAAGCCATTTGCGTTCCATTATTCCGGCAATCTATGATATAACACTTGCAATTCCTAAAGATAAGCCTCGACCGACATTGCTAAGAATGCTTAGGGGATGTTCTTCTGTGGTAAGCTCATACTTATGTACTTGTTCACTTTCCGGAACTGATATTGTTAGTATATAGTCAGTATACACAAAACTAGAGGTGGCAAATGGGCGGATTGGGCTGAATTTGAGCGGGTCAAAATGGGCCGAGTTAATAAATGGACGGGTTATTGACCCACTCAAGAATTACTTGGGCTGAAATGGGTTAAAATGTGGGTCAAAACCCAACCTACCCAATTCTTACTAATTTTTATTTTTTTATATTTTCTTAAGACCTTACAAAAGTATTACTTTTATTTATTAATTCTATAGATAACAAACTAAATAAAATGTTATGTCATGAAACTATATAAAACAATAAGAAGAAGAAAGTAGGGAGAAGAGAGCAGACTTATTATTTCTCCTGAAGGGATGAATTTAAGGAAATCCCTTTATTTATAGGGGAAACCTGACTTGGTCACAAGTAGGATTTCTAACTTTTCTCCAAAGAGCTCCACATAATAGACATTCACTATAATACAAGTGTTTATAACACATTATCGTTTTCAAAATATTTTGACAAGATTTCTCATGTATAAATTTCGTTGTTGTGTCATTATTTACTGCTTAAGATCTGGTTAGCATTACTGTTTAAAAACATAATTTTATAAATAAAAGTTTTCTCTGTCTAATAGTTTAAACTTTTAGATGAGATAGTCACACACTTCAAGGTCCTGGTTGGCCACTGGAAAAGAATCGGGCTGCATGTGAAGGGGCCTGTCTGTTGAAAGAAATAATTGAATAAATAAAAGTGTACTTTGCATGCACATGTACCAAACAACAGAGAAAATGATAATTGCCAAATCTATGAAAAATCATTCAATATTGAGAAGCCAATTATACCAAAGAACAAATATTATAGTTGCAAATATGTAAAAGATAAAATTCACTAAAAAGTAAGAATTTTACAACCTTTCATGTTCATAATATATGTGACGATACCAAATTTCTGATATTCGGATATTATAAAATGATCATTCATAATCTTAATGAGGATTTCTGATATTCAGATATTAGAAAATGATCATTCATAATCTTATTGAGGTCATAGATTATCGTGTTAAGCGCTGGTAAGTTATCTATTTAAATAAATAAAAGTGTTTTCTCTCTAACAGCTTAAGCCTTTAGGTGAGATGGTCACACACTTCAATAGTTACATCTTTTTTTGTTCGATGTCCCTTGTTCCCACTTAAGTCAACTGGTGCTTGCATAAAACTGAGGCTGCAGTTAGCTGTTGTTTCTGACTAATAAATAAACTTTCTATTTGTTTGTTTTGAATTATGAATGTCAGTTGAATAGATAGAAGAAACTATGTAATGCAACATGCTCACAAGGGTGAAACAGTATCTATTCTAGAGCTCCACTAAAGAACCTCTAACTCACAAGCAAACGTAACCGATAAAATTGTACTTTCAGCTGAAAAAGCTCAAAATATCCACTGTCCCCTAAAAAAGAAGTTCAGTTTTCTGTTCTAATTATATGTTGGATTGAGCAGTTCTTGATTTATGAAGAATTTGCCTTAGGATTACTGGTTCTTAGTATAAAATAAACAGGAACCAAACGAAATGTGGCACTAGTGTTCAGACAATGGGCTAAAGTTGTTGAAGCAAAGGATTTCCTCTCTTCCATCTCCTTAATTATCTCTACATTCTCCATTCTATCCTCTCTCCCTATCTATTTTCTTTTCTCTTTTATAAAACAGTTCAATTAAGTGTATGATTTGAGAAAGAAGAAAAAACTTCTTTGTATTTCAGTATATGTCTTTACATCCCACGAGAAAGGGTATTTAACTATTTATACTAGTGAATCCTAACTGATTAAGGAAATACAATCAATTTTAAAAATTTTATTGCCATAATAAAGCTAGGCAAAGGAAAAATAAAGTCTCCTAAATTATGCTAATTAATTTACACAATCAACATAAAGTTATCAAGTTTCTATAGTTCTGTTCTTTAAAAGTAGCTATTTCTGATTTCAAATTTCTGGCTTGAGTGGTAGATGAATGGATCAGTTCTTTATTTAATGTTGATATGTTGCTGTTCACATATAATTATAGTTTTAGGTAAATTCTTAGTAAAAGTGGGGTTCGTTGAATGACTTCTACTATGTTTTGCAAAGGAGTAAGCATGGCATCAAGTATTAGATGGCATTGCAGTTTGTGGGCATATGGGTGGGTTCTTGCTCATGATGTTTTTACATTTTATCTGTCTCGTCTCTTTGTAGGTTCATGTGCGTCTTGAACGCCGTTTGATACAGGAATTACCAGAAGATGAGAGTGGTATTGCACAATGGTGCAGAGATGTTTTTGTTGTAAAGGTAGAATTCGATACACTAAGGCTTAGTTGATTTATTGTAGAATTTGAAACTTTGTCAAGAATACCATGTCTAGATCATTTATCTTTCTAAAACTCTCTGAGAAGATTTTGGGGGTGGTGGGGACTAGGTGCTCCATAGTGGAAACAACGAAACTAGGGAGTGTGTGAGCACTCGTGAAGTTAGGGAAGAAAGAAATTTAAGGCCTACCTTAATCTCTGAAGTTGGCTCCTGATGTGAGTATTATTCAATACCATACAAGGAGAGAGTAACCTGTACGCTTAACAAATGTGGGACATATAACACACCTTTTCCGATCAAAGACTAGACATCTGGTGCATGGACAATACAATATGGACCCAACACTAGTAAACGAAGAGTGGGGACAGGTTTGACCTGATACTATGTGAAGGAAATGAAACTTGAGCCTAACTAAAACTCAAAATCTAGTACTTGAGAGTTGAGGTAAGGATTTTCCAAGACCATATAAGGAGATAACAGTCCATACTCTGGTCCAATGTGGGACATCTAACAAAGTTCACCTTTTAATATTGTAAATTGAAGCTTCGACCTGTCACAAAGCACTCAGCCGTCACTAATTCTGGTTAATTGTTATATATCTCTTGATGCTTCTATCTCAATATGTTAGGATGCTTTATTGGACCGGCATCTTGCAACGGGTACATTTGGTGACCAAGAATGTCAAGATATTGGAAGACCAAAAAAATCCTTAATGGTGAGGAGGGAGCAAATTCATAAAATAGCTAGTTCCAATTGTTCTCCTGTTTAACAACTAGTTATTTGTTGATATGCAGGTTGTTATCTGTTGGTCATGTTTCCTTTTCTTGAGTGCTATAAAGTTTTTTGAATGGTGTCCATTCTCTTGGGGAGGAGTTGTATTTTGTGCAGTTTTCTTGGTCTTGGTTCTAGTCTTGATGCAGATTCTCATTGTCTTTTCCAAGTCAGAAAATTCTACTGCTCCTAAAGTACCTCCTCCATCTACATTGAAAGAAAACCTACTTCCTGCATGATGATATATGATGTAAATTAAGATGTTCCAACTGGTTTATATATAGGGGTGATTTGAGCATCCAAATTAGAGGAGAAGACTAACAAGGGCTGCTTTTTGCAAGAAATTTTTGAAGATCAAGATTCATTGATACTCTAACTTTCTCATTTATTTTCTTTTGGTTTGTTATTCATGATTGGCCTCTTATGAAACAATCAGTAATATGTTTAGGTAAACTTTAGTATATAAATTATCCAAATATATTCTTTATTTTTGTTTCAGTATATGTAAAAAGTTGCTATGTTATACGTCAAGTTTTTTTTTTTTTGATAAATAATTCCAGTTACATTGTTGCAACTCTTTTGAGAAGTTACATGTTACAATTGTATCATTTATTTTACACACAATTTATTTATTTTTTTTATCTGGAGCTGGAATAATACAATTGTTAGTTATAAAGCTCTATAATTTTCATTGGCCAATGGATAATGCACTAATGCTTGTTGTTTAAGTAATTCTACACGTATAGTTAAAACTATATAATTCTAGTCTATTTTTGGAGCTTGGAAATCGTAGAAGATCGAATACCATATTTGGTGATGTAAATTAAAATTTTGCACTTCACTCCTTTTGAAATTTAGATATATCAAAGAAAAAAAACTTACAACTTGATAAAAAGAGAAGAAAATAGAGTCCTAAGATCAATCACATGTATCGATAATGGCTACAAAAAGCAATAAAATTTTCAAAAGAAACAACTTTACCATCAAGTATTGCAACAAAGAAATATCCAAATCACAAGAAGGTACTTGTTGAATCAATGGTTGCAAATGTGAAGATTGGAGCACGTATGAAGGTGATGTTAGGAGGAGTAACTTACGAACACGATGGTAATGATGACAGAGATGGTGTATCGGATAATAGATGAAGATGACATTTGGTGGTAAGGGCAATGATGGAGACATGTTAGTTGGATAATTTCTAGCTGCTATAACAAATATGAGATTTGCTATTATTGAAAATACTATTAATTGGAAGCAAAATGTGACCATATTTTGTGAATGAAAGTTTTACATGTCATTGTGAGAATACTCCTATTTATATAGTCATCATATCCTCTCAAGAAATTAGGACCCCATGAGATCAAAATAACTAAAAGTATTTACTTAATTAAAAAGAGGTTATTTATATTGGTAATATAAGGTAGTATTAGTCTAATATTCATCTAGTCTTTGACTTTTGATTATTTCATTTTATCTGAATTTATATAGTTTTTTTAATTACCGCTTTATTTTATTTTAACAATATTACATCTCATGTTCTAGTCACATGTGTGTTTGTTTTAGCTTGAATATGAAAAAAGATGGACATCTCATGTGTGAATCCTTTCTATTATGTGTCTAAACATAATTCTAACATTCAAAATATTCTTTTCATACATACTCATTTTTCAAGTTTAAATCAATATTATATGAACGAGTCGCAATAATTTGAAATGCAAATTCTATTTGATTTTTTTATATTGTTATCAGATTTCTGTGTTACATATAGATACATAAATGTCTTATCAAATATTCTCACAAGTTAAATTTATTTAGTCAAACGTAATGCATATAAAAATAATATGATAACTGGTAGAGTTTTTCATCTTGTATATTGAGTTAGTAATTAGCTTTATATAGAGATTAATGATCCCCCCTAATTTTACTAATTAGGAAAATAACATACTTAACTATTTGGGTCTATCCATTTTTTCTTTTTTCATTTTTATGGTGTGTTGACTAACTTTCCAAGTTAATATTTTCAACAAGATCAATTTTTTACTGTATAATGTTGTTATGTACTACTCATTTTATCATCAATTATCATTTATTAATTAAAAATTAAGTTTTATATATTAATATCTTTTCTAAAAACACATGCATAGTATATTAGATATCAAGTAAAAAAAAATTACAATAAATAACTATGCACCAATAATGACATAAATGATATATAACAAACATAAAACAATGTAAAGTTCTTTAAAATGCTGGTGATGATAAAGTAAATCTTTTTTTAAAAAAATAAAAGTTGAGTACAAAACATAGATAAATTTTATTGAATTTAATACATAAAATCGTGCAATAATATATCAAATATACACAATTAATCACAATGTATTAGTTAAACTCAAACTAGGTAAGATATGTAAATATTGATTTTCAAACTAGATAAGATATGTAAATATTGATTTTCTTTCTATACAACTAGATATTTTAAGACCCGTAATACGGGCCCAATATAATTTTACATATTTTGTTGAGAAAATTAGATAAGTTCACAACTTAAGATATTTTATTCCTCTCTCGGATGCATCCTGTTTCCTCTCAGATCCATTATTTCCTCTTGGATACATATTTATCCCTTCTAATATGTCATTTGCAATGTATGGGAAAACCAAACAATGTATTCGAAAGGAATGAAAAATTCAAGATTTTTATAATTGAGAAAACTTTTCGGATATAATGTAATTAGCCTACAAAGATATGAAATATCTGTACTTTATACTATTTTTTTCTTTAGTAAAAAAATTCAATATATTACTTTATAATTTATTTCAAATGGTCATACAACATAAGTGTGTTGTTTACAACCTTTGAGAAAGTTTAATTTTTAAAAATTCTTTGTAGCAACGAAATAAAGATTTGCTTTAAAGTAAGAGTTAAAACATTTCATGTTCAAGGAATGTATAAAATTCATATATATTCACAAGTGGTATCTATTTTTCATAATGTTATTTATCTTCGTTTTTGTGATATTTGCACCATAAGCTTTCCATCTTATAAAATATTAATCATTGATCAATCAATTCGTAAAGATCGATTTAAAATCTTTCGAATCTCTATTGCTTCAGCTTAAGTATGATGTGTTTGACTTTGTCGATGAATTTTGTGATACATTTTACTATTGTCTTCGATAAATAGAAGTAGTTAAAAAATTGATTTCTAACTTCACAACAATAAAAACAATCAAGAAAGCAACTTTATTTCTATATATAATAACAATTATCGTAATGTTATATTCTAAATATTGAAAATATTTATCAAAAAAAAAAAAATTTGCCTCCACAAAAATAAAAACAATCATGAAAGAAACTTTATTTCTATATACAATAACAATTATCCTAATGTTATATTCTAAATTACATTAATTAATTTTTTTAATACTACACTTAATATCATGTCGTAAAGAAAACTCTAAAGCTTCCATCCCTCCCCCCTCCCCCCTCCCCCCCAATAAAAAAAAAAAGATAACAAATATTTTTTTTTTTCAGGTTGTTTTTTTTTCTAATTTATTTATTTTTTAGTTTTCTTCCTCTATATTTCTAAACAAAGTCTTTTTCTATTAACATTTTTTTTTCTTCTTTATTTTTTAACTACTCATTTTCTTTAATTTGAATTTCAATATTCATTAGGATTTGAATGTTAAATTATCTCTGTTAAATAGTTTATCATATTTGATATTAAGAAAATATAAAAATGAAAATTTTTTATTTTTTATTCTTTCAATGAATATATTGTCAAATTATTGATTTCTTCATAGTCAAATATTGTTCATTCTTTTAGTCACAAAATTTGATATTTTCTTCAAATTAATTAAAAACTACTGATACATCATTTGAAGAACTATTTTAATAATCAAAATACAAATTTAGTGGTCATATTATGTAACATAATATTAAAAATATGTTCACGCAATATTCCTTTAAAGTATTTCTAAGAAAAAAATATTAACTATTCAAACTCATTTTATTTTAATTTATTCAAAATTTTCTTTCTAAAATATGTCAAAACACATTTGTTATTATTTGTAAGAAGTTAATTAAGTAATAGAAACTCTTCATTTAAACAAAATTACAATAATATCCTTATGGACTCATAACAAAAGTTAAGACATGCATGGATTCTTCTAGATTTTCATTTTGATCATTAATTATACAATTATTATTTTACCCTTAAGTGATGTTAAAATTACTAATATACCACTGATCGTCCTTCTCATGGCTCTTTTATATAATAGAAATAAGATCTATAACTTATCTAATATATATACATGATATCAACAATTATTATCTAAAAAATGTAATATTATTACCAAATTAGTTTGTCTTCTCACAATTAATACAATTAAAATAAATTCATAAAAGGAAAATCCTCAAAATTCATCTCATGATCTTTTACCATATTTTGGTAGATAAGACTTCAATCTCATTCCTTAAAAGAATTGTTTAATTTGTAATAATCAAACTTTTTTTTGGCCACTTAAGCAACTAGTCATAATTAATTGTAACGACCTGTTTAGTCGTTTTGAGCAGCAGATTTTATTTCTGAAAAAACAGGTTGAGACGACGGAACCCACCGACGGAACGTCATGGGCACGACGGACCGTCGAGGGTGTCTCGTCCCAAAACACTTAGAAATTCTGAAATTTGGGTGCTGAAATCGACTCTCTGAACTTTGTAACGAAATGGCAGGACGGACCGTCACAGGTGTGACGGACCGTCACAGACCCTTGGTGGAAATTTGGGTCTCTGAACTTTGCGACAACCTGCAGGACGGACCGTCGCAGGCACGACGGCCCGTCACAGGTTGCGTAATCCCAGTGGAAGTCGGATTTCTTGATACGTTTTAAGGGACGTTTTTGACTATTCTTGCCTTAATTATAAAGTTAGTGGGTTAATGTTAATAAGTCTAATTACTTGGGGGTTAAAAGAGGTAACCTTAAGTTAATTAGTGGGTTATTATTGCCATTTTTTATTCTTAATTATATACTAATTAGGGTAAAAGAAAGAGGGTTTGAATAAAGAAAATAGAAAGAACAAGAGATAGAGGGAGAATCGAACGAGAGAAAAGGGAAACGAAGAGGATAGCAAAGGTCTTGAGGAATTGCTTGCTTGATCACGAAATCTTCGGTGGAGGTAGGTTATGGTTTTTCTTACGATATTCGTAGTAAACTCTTAATATGAATGATATGTATTGATAATATTGTAAACCCTGCTATGTGCTTAATTGTATGCTTGCATGAATGTAATTATATAATTGTGATTATATAAGCATGATGAAGTTATTGAATCCCAAATCTTGCAAAATCCTAATCTCTTTGTTAATAATGAGGCCTTGGTATAAAAGAAGGCGTGATGAACTAAAATAATGGGATTGATGATGCCTTGGTAAGAAAGAAGACTTGATGAATTGATAGAAGGAGATTAGGGGATCGGGTGTCACGAACCGACACGTAGAATTAGGGGATCGGGTGTCACGAACCGACACGTAGAATTAGGGGATCGGGTGTCACGAACCGACACGTAGAATTAGGGGATCGGGTGTCACGAACCGACACGTAGAATTAGGGGATCGGGTGTCACGAACCGACACGTAGAATTAGGGGATCGGGTGTCACGAACCGACACGTAGAATTAGGGGATCGGGTGTCACGAACCGACACGTAGATTTAGGGGATCGGGTGTCACGAACCGACACGTAGATTTAGAGGATCGGGTGTCACGAACCGACACGTAGATTTAGGGGATCGGAGTGTCACGTACCGACACAAGAGGATTAATGAATATGACGTATCGGAGTGTCACGTACCGACACAAGAGGATTAATGAATATGAGGGAGCGGAGTGTCACGTACCGACACAAGAGAAATAAAGATAATGAATCTTGAAAGATGTTAATATACTCAATCTAATGAACATGATTCCCAAATGAGTATGGTATTGAGGCTTGAGTCCTCATGTGTGAACTTGACGGTAATTGTTAACGATATAGTGCTTGTTGTTGCTACATGTTGAGTATCATAGTTGATTTTATGATATTACTTGATATATATTGATTTCTATTTTGAGTTGGCCGATGATATCTACTCAGTACCCGTGCTTTGTACTGACCCCTACTTTTATTGTTTTCTTCTTGTTTAATTGTGGAGTGCAGCAAACGTGCCGTCATCTTCGACTCAACAGTAACTCTAGCCAGTCTTCGTCACGGTCGGATCTTCAGGGTGAGCTAATGCTTCTAGCTTGGACTGGATCTTCTTCTTCAAGTCTTGATGCCTTGAACTTCCGGCATGGACTAGCTTCTTATGTATTTTTAGCTTTTAGAATACTCTTAGTTTAGTCATTTGATCGTAGATGTTCTTGTGGTGATGACTTCCAGATTTTGGGGATAATAATAGTTATTGATTTTATAAATGAGTTTAAGTCTTTCGCATTACTTTATGTTGATATTATATTGAAATGTTAAGGTTTAGATTGGTTGGTTCGCTCACATAGGAGGGTAAGTGTGGGTGCCAGTCGCGGCCCGGATTTGGGTCGTGACATTAATACTCCATCGCTTTAAAAGAGAATGATCTAATTTTCTTTTAATCTGTTTAAATAAAAACGATTCATTTTTTTTTTGACAATATTTTAATTTTAACTTTTCATGAAACATGTTTAAAATCACAAAATTAAATGAGATACTTGACATAATTTTAATTTACAATTTTTTTAAAAAAATTTCATTCTTTTCTTAAGCTCCATTTCAAATCGTAAAAATCTTTCATACATCGGACCGTGTTACTTTTCTAAACTTTATGATTGAAAATTTTGTTAATAGTATAGTACATAGTCAATGAAATAATTATCCCAAGTATTATTAGTTTTTTTTTTCAATTTTATTTCATGATGATTGTAATAATTATTGTTAAATATTCTTATCCATCTATTGAATCAAATTTATTATTGGATAAAAAATATTTTTAAAAACATCAGAAATGACACAAAAAATACCTTCAAATTTGTCACTTTCACTCAATTGAGTTCACATCTCTCGCCATTGCTCTGTGTGTATAGGTAAGTATCTCTTCTCTCTCTCTCTCTATCGAATTACTTTCTCTCTCTAGCTCGTTATGTAAAAGTAGATCTTACTTGGTTGTGATTTTTGATTGTCATGTTCAAATTGTTCGTTGAGAATTGTTGAATGTTATTGCAATTGTGGTTATTGAGCTATAATTATAATCCCCTACAAAATTGTGAGGTTACATGAACGAATTAGGGTTTCAGCTGTACTTGCTATGTCATGCACATAAGCTGTTTGATGAATCACCTGACTGAAAAATGAGCTACATTAGCAATTGTGGGGGTGGTCTAGGCAGGCTTGTAGGGTATTGTGTCTGTGCAGTCGAAATGGAAGTTTCTGGTAATTGACGCGAAGAGTCCTTTTGGCATTGACTTATAACTAGGCTAGGGTTGTGAACTAAAAAAATGCATCGGTGAATTAAGTAGGATTACGATAATGGCCTGGATAAGTGACTGTCTTTGGTGTTTTAAGTGTGTTTCTGAAGAGCTGCATGGAGGATGAAATCATTGTGTTAGTGTTATTTTGAAAATACAAAGTGGGACATGTCAATTGTTTGTTAATTTCCCTTTGAAAGACAACAATGTGGACTAGAATGTTGCTGAGAGAATGACAGAGTCAATATATGGAATCAATCTGATGCTCCATCTGCTGTGGTGGTGACCCGTGTACTGTCGAGGGGACTTCCTTGTCACCTTGCCTGGTATTTATTTATGTGTGGGATGGGGGATTTTAGTTGGTTGCTATTTGTTTCTATGGCTTTCTGGGTTTTCCCCCCCTTAATCCTGCATTTATTTTGTTTTTATCATTTATACCCTATTCCCTCGACTCTTGAGCACTTCAAAACTTGGACATGATTCTAAGTTTGGAGGTCTTTTGAATTGTGGTGAAGTGATTGAGTTGAGGCTTGAGAAAAAGAATCAAAAGCTTGACAAGAAGAGGTATTTTTGCTACTAAATAAGAGAAGAGAAAGAATTGAAGAAAGGAAGAAAAAGAAAAGTATGCTTGAAAATTGGGCTTTATCGAGCGTTGGAAGATAAGGGAAAGGTTGGGTACATCTTGTAAATAAAGGAAATGAAGAAAGGTCTTACTAGTTCAAGTATTTGTGGTGCTTAAGGGAATTTTGAGCTACTTTTATCCATATATATCCTACCATGCCGTAGCCTACATTACAATTATTTACATCCTTCATAAACCCGTATTTTGATCCTAAGCCAAGTGACCTACATTAGTGGAGAATTACAAGAAGGGCAAGCCTAAAAACATAAATTGTTTTAAATTTCTAACCTTTTCCGAAATATTGCGCTATATTTTAGGTGTATCAAATCATCATTTAGAATCTTATATTGTAGTTTATAGTTTTGTTTTACAACTTTTTGATATTGCCCATTGCTAGTTGTTTTCCCCTTTGTGGGGAAACCTTTGAGATGAGTGCTTTTCTTTTCTGATATTGGTTTTCTGAATTAATGTTTGGATGTGTAGGTAGCTTCATGTTTCAACTGAAAGTTTCTGAAATGGGGAACAATCTATGTTACAGTCATGGTGTATTCTGGACAAAAGTCCTATTTTTGGCGTCTCTTTGTTTCATCATGATATTTACAGAGAAATTGCTCATCTTATCTTGATATTTCTAGCCAATGTTTTTCTGAATTTCTTGTGTTGATCCTTAATGTGATGGAGAGAAGAAAAATACATTGATTGCCCGGTTACTATTTCTCATATCTAAATTTTGTTGTTTCCTGATCATAGTTTGAGCTCTCAAGATTTGTTATACTTGAGAAAAAGCTTCAATCTTTGGCGAGGAAAAAAAGTAGAGAGAGAGAGTATCGGGTTGACAATGGATTCAGGTGATGCATCTGGATATTCAGCTGGGGTGGACGATGATTATGAGTCTTTACTTTCAACGACTGATGCAGAGCTCTTAAAACGAGCATGGCGGAATGAAAAGGCTGCTCCTGAAATTCTTCAACATGAGACTGCTTTGGTTCAAAGATCCAGAGAACAAATTCAATTGATGGTATGCACATTTCATATATTTAGGCCTCTTAAATTTGTACCTGGGATATTTGTCTGTTTATTTTTTTAACATCGGCTTTCACCTTATGTTGCATTAGAATTCCTTTCCATTTTAATATTTGTTTTGTGTTAAGACTTATGCTTTCTTTGGCATTATGTGATGGATATATGGCTCAGCAGGTTGAGAATTACTAGTTGATGTCATCATTTCAGAAGTGTATTTATGAAGGGACTATACGACAGAAAAACGAAAAAAATTGTCTTGTCCAAGACTCTAGCAGAATGCAACTGAAGCTTCCAGTTCTGCTTAAAAGGATGAGATTAAACTTTTTAGATAGACAAACTAATTTCTGGCAGAAAAAAATACACTGAACAATTTATTCAATTATTGCCTAACAAAATTTAATTCTAGCATCTGTGTGCACTTTGTCTGCTATTAGGTGAAGTGTTTGCTGTTAAAATTCTTATTGGAGTATAACTTCCATGAGATTCTAAGTTAAAGGACACAGCTGTGTTTGGTAAATCAGAAATGAAGTTATTAGTTGAAAGCTAAAACTGTGTGCTATCTGAATGGAAAAGCTGTTGTGCTCTCATCCAAACAAAGATTATCATAACGTGTGTTGTTACCGCTTAGTAATGGATTGTAATCCGTATCTTCGTTTTTGGTGTACGACATCTGTTAATTTCATATTTAACGAAGTGGAATGTAAAACTCCTCCGACACTCCAAATCTACATTTCATTTGATGATGCCAAAAGTTCCATTTTATGCTGTGGTATATTTTTCATTTATATGAATCTAATATTTGCTTTTGTTCCTCGACTTATGCTACTCGTTATTCATTTATGCAGTTTCATGGTTTACAATCTATTGCATGCTAATTCTACTTAGTCTTTGCTCTTCAGGAAGAAACAGTAGAGGAATTTTCAAAAAATGGTGTTGATCCGCTCACTTTATCTCTTTACCAGATGGACCTCGATAGAACTCTATTTCTATTAAGATCATACTTAAGAACCCGTCTCCAAAAGGTAGCTTTGAATTATAGTATCATATTATGGATTTGATTTAGGTGAAAATCATATCCGTAAAGAGCTATAGTTCTTGAAGTTACCAGTAGTGTCTTTAAAGCATGATCTGTTGAGTGTCATCGGGTCTCATCTCTTGCTGTGGCCCTGCACCTTATCCCATCTTCATTCATTCATATTAATGTTTGACTGCAGATCGAAAATTATGCATTTCACATACAAAAAAATACTGACTTATGGAATCGTCTCTCTAAACAAGAGCAGAAATTTGCTGAAAGGTAAAGCTGTTTCTCTTAATTCTGAGTGTTCAAAGTTTACCAAGTTTATAATGCTAATTACTGGGATGATTAGGTGTATTGACGACACGGAGCAACATCTAGATCAATCTGTTCTCTCAAAGTTGCCTCATGGCTTCAAGTCCCACTTGAAGCAATCTTCACTAAGTTTGGCAGATGACATGGGTAAGCTTGCCATGAACTGTTCAAGTTAGTTGAAATTGTTCAAGCCCTTTCCTCTGTTTGCTTGTTTATCCATTTCTCCCGTGTTTAGCTTTATCTATGTCGTTGTAGAGCTAACGAGAGTGTCTGGAATCCGAGATTAATGGTTAGGCCTTAATCAAAAGCATCTTAAAATAATAAAGGTTTGTTGCCAAGTGACTTGACTTTGTCTTCGAACAGGGTGTTAGCAATTTAAATTCTCTAATCAATTGCCAAACCTGCAACCTGATTGTGAGTTTGTTTAAGGCATGATATAATCTCTTGCATTCTTGCTATCTGTATGTTTCTTCATTTTTTCCTGCATTTCGACATCTTAAATATAAAGACTTTTGGGATTTGCATTTGTACTGAAACTACAGTTTTTCTTCTTGTATGCACTTAGTTCCTGAGCCGCAGCTAGATCAATATGTCATCTGCAGAAGCAAAAAGTTTTTAGGATCTTTTCAGCTTGATGACAGGTTATCTTCTTTACTTCATTGTCATTTTTCTTAAGAATCCTGCCTGATTATTTTCAGTTCTCGACTTCCATTAATTTTCTTTTATGATAGTGGGGAAGAACCAGTGAACATTGAAGCCAATGATTTGTATGCTCTACCTTACAAGTCTATAAAGCCACTTGTGGAGAGTGGGCAGATTGATCTGGTATGAGAGTATAGGAAACAGAGCAGTCCTATATTGTGCAGACTCTCAAAATATGTTGCTGTACCCGTATCAAATCCTCCAAAAATGCACTACTTTTGGAGGATCCAGCACACCCATGAACATTTTTGAAAAATTCGAGTTGGAAACATTGCCCCTATGTATTCTGCTGATAGGAAACTGACGATATGCCACAAATCAAAAATTATATTATCTAACAATGTTGTAGTTTGTAACAAATGCAGCATAGGAACTCCAACTCTTTTACAATCCTATTAACTGCTCAAGAATGGTTTCCCTTATTGTGGTATGAATAGTGTTCTTGTTTCAAACTATTTTGTTTTTAAATGATTTTTTAAACTAGTAAATAGATGTACTTTTATATTCTTAACTAATGACTCTCCAATAGACTTTCGTTTGGAAACTCAATGATCCTTATTTTTATGGAACTTGTTTTCGTAGAGAAAACATTTGACCAATCGAACATAGGAGAATTGAAAATTTACTTTTATACCGAACAACCCCTAATGTAAAATAAAGAAAGATAGCAAAACTCTCTTTGATGGACATACATTGTTGAACTTGTGTTAGGTTCATACATTAGTATAAGACAAAATCTAGAAACTTAACTGTGCTGATTTAGTTAAGGGGTTCTTAAATTTGTTTAATTAAGTTATGTTATAACCTGATTCTTGTTACCAATAACCATACTGGTATTGAGAAAACTCCAAACTCAAAAGAACAAAAAGACCATTTCATAATTTCTTTTCATCTCATTCTAACAAAGTGAAGAGGATACATATTAATATTAAAATAAAACATGATCTGTTGGACAAATAAAAGTAAATTGCTGAAGTCGGTTTCTTCCTCGAGCTAATTCCTCTTAGCCTGCAGATGGATATATGTTCCATATGGTTTGTGACAAAAGTCACAAAAGATGGATAGAATGAAACTTATAGAAATGAGGATATGTGGTAATGATATTGATATGGAATAGGAGAAGAGAGATGAAAAAATAATGTGAATTTTTTTAGTAAGATGGAGGTGGTGGAGGTAGAGGAGATGGTGGTGGTGGTGAATTGTAGTAATATGGAGGAGGAGGGGATGGAGATGGTGGCGGTGGTGAATTGTAGTAATATGGAGGAGGTGGAGGTGAAGATGGTGACTTGTAAACGTATGGAGGAGGAGGAGAAGGTGATGGTGGGGGAGGAGAGTTATAGTAATAAGGAGGAGGGGGAGATGGTGATGGAGGAGGTGGAGATTTATAGTAGTATGGTGGTGGAGAATATGAAGGTGCAGGTGCAGGTACAGGTACAACCGAAGACTGAGGAGATGGTGCCCATTCTGAAGGCGAGGGTGGTGAACTGTTATCATATGGTGATGGTGATAGTGGTGATGTCGCTGGTGAAGGCACTGGGGAAGGTCGAGGAGAGAACCATTCGATAGGTGATGGTGGGGACTGGTCAGGATCAAATGGTGCAAGTACAGGCGATGATTGAGGAGATGTCGTATAACTAGGAGATGGTTCCCATGAATAGGAATATGGGGATGGGGCCCATCTTAAATGTGAGGGTGAGGGTGATGGTGATATAGCCGGTGAAGGCACTTGGGAAGGTCGACGAGAGAACCATTCGATAGGTGATGGTGGGGACTGGTCAGGATTAGATGGTGCAAGTACTGGCGATAATTGAGGAGATGTCGTATAACTAGGAGATGGTTCCCATGCCCATTTTGAAGGTGAGGGAGGGGACGGCGATAGTGGTGATGAGGTTGGTGTAGGTGAAGGCACTAGTGAGGGTTGAGGAGAGAACCACCCTAAAGGTGATGGTGGACTAGAAATGTAATAATCCGAGGATGATGGTTGTGGTGATGGAGATGATTGACCTAGTGACTTGTCAGGGTTAGGCGTAAACGTTGGTGCTGGCTTGTAACTATAATATTTTCTCCATGAGTAAGGATTATGACTTGCTTCTACACTATTGGATATCGAAAGTATAGCCACAAACCATACAAGATGTGGCAAAGAAGAAGCCATATTTCTTAGAGGTATGAAGAGAATGAGATGAAATTGATGAACATAAAAATGAAGAAAGTCCCTTTTATATACTCGTCATGAAATTTTGTTTAAATTTATTTAGTCATTTTTTTGGCCCCTAGCTAGTTGGGAAGTAGACTTGTTCTTCAATAGTGACAAAGAATAATATGAGATGAAGTCAAACATAAAACTTTGAGGGCAAATGGAGCTAACATTTTGCAAATTTTATTTGATTTCTTGGACGGCTTTAAAAGTTCATTAATATTTATCCCTTCATGGAAAAATTTCGAGTAGTAAATTTGTGTTCAAAATTTCTGAGTTGTGGAAGGTTACTTATGTCCTCTTTTTTTTTTTGTTTTCGATAAAAAAAAAATATTTATTTAGCCAGCTGAAGCATGAAACTTAGAGAGAGGATTAAGAAAAATATTCCTTCTTCCGTTTTAGTTTGTTTTTATCATTTACATTACTTTAGTTTACGACGATCACATTCAAAAGTTAAAATGAGTCTTAATATAAATAGAGTTTTTCGACCAAAAGAAAAAACTGCTAGCGGTGAAGTAATTTGACTTTTCAATGACTGCTACCATTACCATATCAGTTTTGTCAAGATTTTAAATAAGGAAAAACAAACAAGTAGCAAGTATTAAAAGAAAATTCAAGTTTTATTTATTTGAATTATTAATCGAGTTTAAATAGGTATGAAAGAAAAACCCTTAAAATTCATATGACTTGTATTTATCATATGAAGCTCTAATACTTCACCTATTCAGTACAAGTGGTACAACCATCAAACACTTAGCTTTGGCCGAAAATCAGAATTCACAAGTAATTTTGTAAATTCATCAGTGCAAGCCATCCGAATACGCTCTGGAGTGGCTGGATTATCAAGAGGGAACCAGTCGTTGTAACCAGCTTCCATCCGTGCAGATTTTATGGCGTTCTTGATGGCGAAAAAGACAGCAGAGGCAAGAAAGAAAGGTGGTTCCCCAACTGCTTTAGATGAATGGATAGCCTTGGTGTTTGGAGCATTCTGTTGCCAAATGTTCAAGCAGATTGTAAAGATATAAGCAGTTTAAGACATAGTATAAATCAGCTGTATGCTGAACCAAACTTTATGGAAAACAAAGGAAGGAATTTTCTAACAATGGCTTAGAGGTACTCAGCAAACAATGAATATCTAAATATCAAGGAGGAGATGGTGGTGAGACTTACTTTCAGAAGAGAGACATTAAATTTGAACGGCATATCATTCAAAGACGGAAGCTTGTAATTTCCAGGTCCACATGTGAGTAAGCACCCAGGTGGAATCCACTTGTGTGCTTTATCACCCCACTTCAGCTCTTCCAGTGCTACCCATCCAAGACCCTGTAGAAATGCTCCTTCTATCTGCATATAGAATGCAAAGGTCCATTTCAGATCGAAAGATACGAGATCCAGCCCATCTCAAAATGTGGTAGTGTTTCTATCTCTTCCAGAATTTAGACAATTAGAAGCAAGTTTGCAACTGGGAAGTAATGGCATTTGACATAATATATGCAGGTCACCCTTGTAAATATGTGAATATTTAGAATAAGAAAAATAAACAAAAAGAAGAACATTTGGAGTGTCCCCTGTTGAGTTCATTACTAAACAATTGGCGAACTTCAATTCAAGAAATGGAATACTAAACAATTGGCGAACTTCAATTCAAGGACATGGAGATAGAGTTTAAAAATCTGGATTCTATTCTTCCATTTTGCTTCCCATTCAAAAGAATGAAATGCAAACATTATCTACATTTAGATAGATCTGTCAAAAGCCACAACTTGCCAGACATTCAATCATCAATTACTTCAGTATTTTACTAATTGATAGTCTACTTTTAAATTCATTTATTCAAAATATGCCATTAAGCAGGCCAGATAAACAATTGAAAATTCAATATCTATACGAGAGGGCATCAATGACCTGTCCAACATCAATCGCTGGGTTGAGGGAGAATCCAAGGTCTAGGATAACGTCTGCTCTCCTAGTATGGAAATCGCCTGTCAATGTGTCAATTTCAACTTCGGAAAATGCAGCACCATAGGTGAAGTACCTAAATGGACTGCCTTTTCCAGATTTCCAGTCAAAGTCAATATCAGGTGTGATGTAGAACCCATGAGCAGAAAGGTCTATTCTCTCGAAGTAGCACGCACTGACAAGCTGATATTTAGTCAGAAAACAAGACATCAAGTCAGCAGTTATTGTTTTTTCTATTATCATAATGACAGTGCTATAGAAAAAGACAAAGTGCAATGTTTCAGAGTCAGTTTTGAGGTACAAATAAAATATAAGACATATAATAAAGGTTTACAATGGACCATGAGGGAAGATACAAAATACTTGTGGTGTTATCAATCTGAACAAGACATTATATACAGTGAAATTATGGAACAATATGCCACAGAAAGGTAATGAGCTTTGCTCGGGAAATGAAATAAACCATGAAGAAAACCTTACCGTTCCATTGCAAAAAAATCTATTACAAATTCTCTTTTGCAGATACTCGGCCTTTTTTGAGTTTCTTCTAATTTAATGTGTCAACTCCAAGATTACGATGAATTATGAATATACTGAACATGTGGTCTTGCTACAGGCAGAGGTGGACACAAATTTGAAGGAATAAAGCAGACGGGTGAGGTGAAAATACTTTCTTCTTTAAATGTTGAGCTTTGAGAAAGTCACTCATTGATCCAGCCTTAGAATAATCTTGTAACTAGGACTGTCATGATTCACGTCCCACTCTCTTGCTACATGCCCATGTTGCTAAGTGTTTCATCTGCTGCCATAATCGTTGCATCTTATGCAAAACATTGTGCATCCTCCTAGATGGACAAGTCCCTTCTTCTGTTACTATGTACCTCCATTTTCATGATTTACAATGTATTGCATACCTAGTTCAACTGACACGAGGTGTGGCAAAACTAAACTTTGATTTCAAGTGCAGGAGGTACAGTTATTTAAGAACTTGAAAGCAATATACGTAGTCAACGTCTTAACTCTCTCTTTTGTTTTTTGGTGGGAAGGAGGGGAGGTCATACCTTTGCATTAACTTCTTACCATTTAACGTTTTGTTCTCTTCTGACATTGAATTTTTTCCACCTTCCTTTTCTTAGCTTACCACCTAACAAATATTCATCTAAGGACACTACATAATTTGTTGTTTTTGATATAAGGACTTCTATTGGACCTCCCATGGTTCTGAAAAAGCTGTAAGCAGTAAGCACCACTTGTAATTATTCATATATCCTTGTACGTTTTCTACACTCATGTAACTCCTTAGACTCTTTTTCCTTGTCCTTAATTCCTTCAATTATAAGGAAATAGGCAACAAGCCTGGTCAAACACTAGCCCATGCAAAGCTATGCTTGGAGACATGCCAGATGCATGCACTGTAGACTAATAATAATGCCTAGAGCTTAGTATCTCCTTCCAGAGCATGTGGCATTTGCATCCCTTCTTTTCATTAAAGTGCATATCTACTGATCGCTGGTTTCTCTTCCTTGAACTTCTCAGACTCAACTTGGTCAGGTAAAAGAAAAAAGACAACAGAAACATAAGGTCTTCAATACTCTGATGAACTTCAAAGATAAAATATCTTCTTCCAAATGATATACGCCTTATCATCTTCTTCACAATTGGTGCCTAACCCTGAAGAAGTGTGAATTTCACACAAGGAGTTACTGTAGGAGGAAACCATCATTTGGTGGTTACAATCAAAATAATTTGAAGGTGAGAAAAGAAGGTGTATCAGGGATGCATATATCCCTTTTTATCTGAAAAATGAGGTCAGATTAGATTTAGTATTCCATAAGAAGAAAAAGAGAGTATGATACGGATCAAGCAAAATGGAGTAAGGAAAGAGGAGTAAAGGAAAACGAAACAGACAATATTACAGGGATGATCACAAGCCACAACTGATTTGAACAGCCCACCATGTTTGCTCTTTAATTTAATTATCACTTACTGTACTTATTAGCCCATTAAATTAGAGAAATTCACAAGTAGAGTATTTTATCATTTCCTCCTCAAAACATAAGTCATAAACAAATTTCAAATGATAGACAAGCAAGTCAGGCAGATTAGGAATGAAATAAAACAGATATCAAATCAAAAAATTACTTAAAAGCCAGCACAAGAAAAGACCTCCTCAAAAGAGCTGAAGTTAGACTTGGATGCAATAGGCTCCATCCGGGCTTTTATTTGCTCACATGCATCCAATACTGCAGCTCCATACATGTCAGAACTTGCAGAAGCAGCTGTTGGTGAAGCATTAGGTACCTAGATTGGCAAGCAAACTAGATGAGGCAGGTAACAATATTTTTCATAATCTGCAAACAAAATTGACATGCAACACAAGAAATTTGAATAAAACAATATGATGTGCTAGAAGAAATATCCACACACACACACCCCAAACCAAGCAAACCACTGCTTGGCTGAGGGAGATCAGTTTCAATTATTTTAGGTAGCAAGTGAAGGCAGTATCTAAGTTCAACATTTACAGACCGAGTAAATTCAAGTTTTAATATTGGTTATTATGGAAGGGGAGCCTTGGCATAAGTGGTAAAGTTATTGTCATGTGACCAGTAGGTCACAGGTTCGAGCTATGGAAACAGCCTCTTGCAGATATGCAAGGTAAGGTTGTGTACAATAGACCCTTGTGCTCCGTCCCTTCCCCGAACCCTGCACATAGCAGGAGCTCAGTGAACCGGGCTTCCCTTTATAGGCTATTAAGTTTCTGGTTTAGCTCGTTTTCTCTCATCGCCATCTAGTACATGCCTAACCCTTTCTGTCGTCATAGCTAATATTTTTTGATAACTCGTCCCAGCTGATATTAGAATATAACAAGAATTATGCCATGTGATTCCCATGTATTTGTTCACCAATAGAAGAATAGAAGCTTCAAACAATGATATAATGATATTCGTCTCACACTCAATACCTTGTCGGTACTTGTGTCTGAAATGAATACTGCA